AGAGTGGGGACCTCAGCTTGCCTCCCCCACGGGACCCAGCGGGAGCTTGTGATCTCAATGGAGAGGTGTCACCTCACTGGAGCAAACATTCCCCAAGGACACCGCTCCCCACCCCCACCCCCACCCTGCCTGGTCCCAGACACAGGGAAGGGCTCTTGTCCTCTCATGGCTTCATCTGGAGGGAGCCTCTGCCTGGAAGGGTGTGAACCAACAGTGGGGGAGGGGACAGTGCCTCAGGGACCAGTGGGGAAGGGGGAGGTGAGACCCAGCAGGATGGGGTTGGGGCATGGCATAGCCAGGAAGAGAAACACAGAGTGACTCCATAGCATCAATGGGGGAGGAGATGACCCAAGCTGGCCAGTAAGGGAGGGGCGTGACCCAAGATGGCCAGTGGGGGAGGGGCGCAGCCCAAGATGGCCAGTGGGGGAGGGGCGCGGCCCAAGATGGCCAGTGGGGGAGGGGTGTGACCCAAGATGTCCAGTGGGGCAGAGCTGTCTGAGATTGCAGGGGTGGGGGGGCCCCTTCAGCAGGATGGACGTGTGCTTCTGTGGACGTGGAGAGCCAGCCTTGTCGGTCCAGACCCCTCTGCCACCTTTTATGTCACGTTGCCTTTCCACCTTCTCTCTCATGAGCATCCTTCATCCTTGATGGCTAGAATTAAATCCCCATGTTTAATTTAATTTTGGGAAACAAATGAGTGAACAAAAGAGGCTGAACCCTGCGATCCCCGTGACTCTGCCCCTCAGTGCCTGATCCCCAGAACTCTGCCCCCCCACCAACTCTTCCCCTTCTCTCCTGCTGCCTGTGGGACTTAAAGGGGCTTCAGAGCCATTGGCTCGATGGCACTGAGGAAGTGCTCACAACAGGCCTTTAAGGGGGTGACTCCTGACGAGCTCCCTCTGACCTCAACACCCCCCCTCCCAGCAAGCACAGGGGACTCCGGGTACGGGATGGCTGTTCCTCGTGGCCTGCTCTTCAATCTCCTGGCACAAATGTTCCACCTTTAGCCTCATCTTTAGTCAAAAGCAGAAGCGATTAAAGGAACAAAGAGAAGTGAAACGCATCTTCAAGTGCGGTATAGACTGTAGTTGGCTCTGGGCCTGAATTTTTTTTTTTTAATGAGGTGTGGGGGCTGGAGCAATAGTCTTGCAGATCAGGCGCTGGCCTTGCACGCGGCCAGCCTGGGTTCGATCCCCAGTACCACCAGGAGTGATTCCTTGTGCAGAACCAGGAGTAAGACCCAAGCATTGTGAGACGCGACCCCCAACGCAAAAATAAATAAATGGAATAAATGAGGCGTGATGTGATCACCTGTGCAGGCAGGAAATCAGCAGAGACGAGCTCAGGTCCTGCCCCACCCACTCTTGGGCTCCTGCGGTCCAGGGCTGTCGCAGTCCTGGGTCCCAGCGGCCTCTGCTCAGCAGCTCCCAGAGGTTGGGTTGAGAATGTCCAGTGGTTGGCAGGACACATAGACACTGGGCTCTGCCTCTCTTCTCTCCATGGGCCCCCAGGAAAGTTCCAGCAACATTTTTGTCAGGTTGACGGAAATTTTCATTCATGCTGATAGGATTTTCCTGAACGTGAGTAATATCTTTTAAATTGAAATTCATTATTTTTATAATGGATGGCTGTTTTAGAAGCAAGAACCGAATGACAATGATTGCTGCTGATTATGACTGAAAGATTGGGGGAATCATCTGGAACATGGAGGGGAACGTGGGAAACGTCTGCTCTGGGCGGGCCAGAGGCCGGGACTGAAGTGACGCATGCCTTCAGGTATCAGGGCTCATCGCCAGCACTCAGGAGTCCCCCGAACACCCCAGGCCTGGCCCAAAGGCAACAACAAAATATCTGCTCCAGGGGGCTGAGGTGATAGCACAGCGGGTAGGGTGTTGGCTTTACACTCTGTCAACGGGGTTCGAGTCCCAGCATCCTATATGGTCCCCTGAGCACTGCCAGAAGTGATTCTTGAGTGCAGAGCCAGGACTAACCCCTGTGCATCACCAGGTGTGACCCAAAAAGAAAAAATAAAATCTGCTTCAGGGGTTTGATAGCCAGAGCTGGTAGGACAGGGGACCCCCAGGTAACCCTCATGCAGGAGCTGTCCCAGCACTGGCAGGGGGGTGACTCTGTGCCCTTCCCATGGCATAACTGCTCTCACCTTCCCAGACAGACCCAGGGACAAACACCATGTACGTGGAACATACCTGGGACCTGGCTTCTGCATGCGTGTGTGCGTGTGCGTGTGTATGTGTGTGTGTGTGTGTGGTGTGGTGTGTGAGATGTACAGGCATGTGTATGTGTACGCGGCATGTGTGATGATGTGTGTGTGCGCGTTGTGGTGTGAATAGTGAGTGTTGCCCCTACATGCAGGAGCGTGTGTGGTGTGGAGCCCGTGGAGTTTGAAGACAGCCCTGGACCTGGGACTGCAGAGGTGGCGGCTCTCAGAGGGTCTCGTGTTGACAGTAACTGAACGCCAGTCCACGGCTGGGTCCTTCCCGCAGACCCTCCCTCCAAGAGGCTGGGGGCCACTGGCTCCCTTCCCATTTCATAGCCCAAGCAACCGAGCACTAGGGAAGGGGTATCCTCCTTCAGCCGGTGACCCTCCTCCTGCCTGGCCCAAGTGAGGAAGAAATGAGCGGGGTGCCCTTCAGCCTCTCAGCCCCACGAGCTGCGGCCTCAGCAGGTTGCACCCACCCAGTGTGCCGTAGGCCGAATCCTCTCTGCATCCTGGGAAGGCAGGAACTGCCCCAAATGAAGAGGAATGAGCTGAGGTGGTTACCGACGCACCAGAAAGCGGTGCGTTCGCGTGATTGAAGCGCGGCGCGACTCCGTCTGGCTCTGGGCCCTTCTGGGGCTGATGTGTGCAGGGCAGTGGTGCTGATGCGGAGCGCATTCGGGCCACGCAGATCAATAGTTCGTGAATCACCTTCTGCCGTCCCGAGCCCTCCCGTCCCTGATAAGGAATGATCTCCCTGCAGGGCCCACCCCACCCAGGCCTGGCCAGCTTGGCAGGGACAGCCCTGTGCCCCGCTGGCCTTTCTGGGCTGAGCCCAGACTGCTGGGGAGAGGGGCAGCGGGAGAAAGGAACAGAATGGCATCATTCACTGCAGGGACTTCCCAGGAACCACAGCTATGCTCACACTCCTTGCTTGAGCCATGGGGTGAGGTAGACCCGCACTCCCTCGGGGGTCTCCCCCCAGCATGTAGTCCCATTTTGCATCTGCCCAAACTCTGGGCGGGGGGACCTCAGGGCAGGTTCTGGTTGGGGGGTTGTTAGTAACCCCTCTGCCCCCCTCCCTGGAGTCCGCGGGGCCCTGCATCTCTGGAGAGGAGCAGCCCCGCCTTTCCCCATTCATGGGAGGTAACAGGCCCTCGCTTGGGGACTCCGGTCTGAGCCCGACCCCCCGAGGTCCACCCCAGCATCACGGGCCCCCAGGTGCCAGAACATCCCAGCACAGAGTTAGGGTTGGCCCAAGACCCTTTAGAGGAAGCTCCCATTTTGTTTTCTTTCAAAATAATAAAGGGACCATAAAGGGAGTTGGGGGTGAAGACACTTGACCTGTACACAGTTAACCCCAGCTTGACTCCAAGACCACATATGGTTCCCCAAACCCTGTCGGGGTGACCCCTGAACTCAGAGCCAGGAATAAACCCCAGCACAGAAACCAATGAAACAAAACAATCAGAAAGAGGAAGACAAAAAGCAGAAGGAGGGGTTGGTGGAGGAGGAGGAGGAGGAGGAGGAGGAGGAGGAAGAGGAAGAGGAAGAGGAAGAGAAGGAAGGGGAGGATGAGAAGGAGGAGGAGGAGGAGGAGGAGGAAGAGGAGGAGGAGGAGGATTAAGAGGGAGAGGAGAAAGAGGAAGAGGAGGAGGAGGAAGAGGAGGAGGAGAAGAGGAGGAGGAGGAAGAAGAGGAGGAAGGGCGGAGGGGAGGAGGAGGAAGATCGTGAATGGACACAGAGACAGAAATGTTTGAGATGAAGCAGTACAGGAACATGAGTCCCTGGGAATGGTAGGTGCAAGCCCCTCCCTGCTGAATATGGAAGCTTCTGGAGATCTGTGGGAGAAGAGGCGACGGTGGCAGCAGTCTTTGTGACCTCCTTGCTGCATCCCAAGACAAGCTAAGGAGGATCCCTGGGGCCGTGTGTCGGGCTGCACAGTGAGAGGTCAGCAAAGCCGACCTGAGCCCTTAGCGGCGGGAACGGGGTCCCCTAGGGAGATAGGGACCACCCTGGGGGGCTGCACACGGAGTCCCAGGTCCCGGCACCCACAGTGGATGCGTCTCAACTAGGCATTTTGTCGCTGTGCTAAGAGCAGGGTCCCCACTGCACGCAGCGCAGACCAACCTCCCTCTGTGGCCCAGCCGAGCCTCTGCCCCAGAGCCAAACCCTGAGCCTTCCAGCCCCCTGTTCCCCCGGTGCAGGGGCCACCCCCTCTGGGGGAGGAAGGGGGAGGGCCCCTGAGGCAGAGGAGGGGGCCAGGCCTGTGGCTTGGGGACAGACAGAAAGAAATCAGTCTCTGAGCTGAGCTCAGCAGAATGATCACGGGCCACCCCGGCTGAGTGTCCGGAGGGCTGGGGGGGACCCAGGAAGCTTCCAGATTTGTGGGAAGGTCACCAGATGTCACCTCTGCTAGGCGCTGGTGGGACCTGGGGGCTCTTCAGTCTGGGAGCACCTCTGAGAAGGCCGGGCTGTCCCCGTGTTCACAAAAGGTGTCCACCTGGGCGGGTGGGCACGGGCCCACGGGGTACCCACAGGCACCTTTCCCATTCAGGGTCCACAGCGCCCCCACCTGGGCCCACGCCCCTCCCCTCCCCCTTATCTTTTTCTGAACTTTTGCATTTTTGAGTCTCATTTCCTGTCAGGTTTTGCATTTCCCTCCCCGCCCCTCCAAGCCAGGAGACATACTTTCTCTCCGTTCTTCTCTCCTTTGCCTCCTCTGGCTTTGACACCGGGCTGGGCCGCAGAAGCAGTCCCTACGGCCACACTGCCAGAGCCCCCTACTCTGCGGCACCTGGAGGGAGCCAGAGGCCTGCCTGGAGGAGGTGCCCTGGCCTGCAGACCATGAGCACCACAGGTAGGCTAGGACTAGGCTGGGGGTGGGGAGGCCTCTGGGGCCACACTCCGCAGGAAGCGCAGGGAGGACTAGCCGGAGCGGGGTAAGTGGGGACGCTGGGGGAGGAGACGCCCCTGTACCAGACTGAAGGGCCCCCGGCCACGGGCGGTTGGGGGACCAAGGGGAGCTGAGGGGACAGACCTGCTGACCCAGTGTAACTCCACCCCTCCCAGCCTGCTCCCCTCCCCGTGCTCCCCTCCCTCCTTGCTCTCTCACCCTTTCCGTCCCCCCACCCCTTCTCCTGCCTTTCTGCCCCCTCCCGGGCAACACCCACCCCGGGAGCAGACGGCTTTCAGGGGGCCTGGAGCCCCCCGACACCTGCTCCGGCAGAGGAGACAAGGCCCCTGGCCCAGGCACAGGAAGTCAGACCACAGCCGGGCTGACTCAGAGGCTCCGAGCTGGGGCGGGTGGGGGTAGGTGCACCCAGAGCACAGCACAGCCGGCTCACACACACCCTGTCGCACACACCCTGTCACACACACCCATCACACACAGCGTCACCTAACCACACACCCATCACACACACACACCCTGTCACAACACCCTGGCACATACACCTGTCACACACAGTCAGACGCACACAGCGTCGCCCCAACACACACCCATCACACAACACCCGTCACACAACACCCGTCACACAACACCTGTCACGCACACCCCGTCATACACACTCGTCACACACCCATCACACACACCCCTCACACCCATTCATCACACACCCATCACACAACCCTGTCACACATACCCTGTCACATATACTCTGTCACATACACCCTGTCAGACACACCCATTCACACACACTCATCACACACACCATCACACACTCGTCACACACACCCTGTCACACATAGTCAGACAGACACAGCGTCACCCCAACACACACACCGTCCCAGAAGCAAACCCTGCCACATACCCCGTCACTCATACAGTCACATGCACACCCTGTCACATTCCCCGTTACATGCTGCATCACACATGTAGTCTCACACAGCGCATTACACATACACGTACACACTCTTGTCACCCCATCGCACACACTCCTCTCACACCCCAGCCCCACACTCACACCCATCCACTGCCCAACATCTTTACCTTCTCACTGCAGGTGCTCCTCCCCTGCCTCCCCTTCCCCGCGCAGTCCCCAGACCCTTGTCACTCTGGCCCCCTGTAGCGTGGGGGAGTGTCCTGTGCTGGCCCCACACTTTACCGCTTGCTCCCCAACTGTCCTGGGTCCCCCCAGGGCTTGGCAGCGCACCCCCACTTGACCCCATTGCTCAGACCACAGCTGGGCTGCCCCGGAGACCTGAGGGCTAGGGGAGGTAGTCCCCGGGTGGGGGCAGTAGACGCCTGGTCAGGGAACCCTTCCAAGGCACCGTGGGACACAGCGACCGAAGGTCATGTGGCACCGTCTGAGGCCCGACGGTTCACACCCCAACTGAGGGAGGGTCGTGAGAAGGTTCCAGGCTGAGACTCTCCCCACATGCCTCTGCTTCTCCGTCCACGTCAGGCTCGGCCCCGAGGAAGGTGGTGGGGACAGTGGTGCTCGGCCGCTCGCAGCCTCTGTGCTAGGGCTCCTGGACGTTGTCCCAGTGGGAAGGGCAGGATTGGAGGCAGCGCAGAGTGGGGGGTGTGGGGCGAGAGGTAGCGGCCGGGAGGGGTCTCTGCCGATGTAGACCAGCCCGTGTCCAGGCCTCGGGCCCAGAGTCGGGTGGGCAGTGCCGGGGGCCAGCAGAGTCTGCCCTGCGCTGTGCCAGGCGGGGTAGGGGGCAGAGCCCCGGGCCTCACCTGCCCTCTCTTGCCCATCACTGTCCCGGGGAAAGGGGTTCCCGAGCAGACATGGGAAGCTAAGGCAGTTTTATCTGGGAGTGTGTGTGACAGGACAGAGCAGCACTTTCGGGAGAGAACCAGGTGCTCTGGCCGGTGGTGAGATCCCCGTCCCCACTGAGGATGTCCCCAGGTCTGCAGAGTTGGCGTAGGGTTCCCCCCAAAAAAAACTGCCTCCGTGGGACTGTGGAGGTGAATCGGTCGCCCGGGTGCTGTCCACGTTCCCATCCCGCCCTGAGCCTCTCCGGAGATCCTGTCCCCTGGCGCCATGCACAGGGGTCAGTGAATCCAGGATCTAAGTGGATGCTCTCCGGGGGGCCGCCTGCACACTCCCACTGGCCCCGCTATAGCTTTCCCGTGGGCCACGCTGACCTGGCACCCGGGCCGGAGGAGCAGCTGGTTCAGACCCGGTGGGGGTGTCCTTTTGAGGTAAAGATTGGCTGAGACGGGCAGAGGGAAGGAGGGAGGGCAGCGGCCTCCAGGGTGTCTCCCCGCAGATCTCGCCCTAGCTGGGGCGCTCTGGGCTCGACTGCCCGTGTCTGTGTGGCTGTGAAACTGGAAGTGCATGTGGGGGGGGGGGTTTGCGGGCATTAGCCACCCTGCACCAGCCAAACCAGCGCCCCCCACACTGAGCCCAGCCGTGCGGCCTCAGGAGCCACGCGGGAGGTGGAGGCCAGGGTGGGGTTCAGGGGCGCTTGGCCCTTCCGCTCCCCCCCCACAGCTTCCTGGGAGCTCCTGATGCTACTCTTGGCTCCCAGGGGAACTCTCCCAGTGTAGACGGCGGGAGTAGGCAGCGTGCCCCAGTTCCGGCTGATTTCTGGGGTGCAGGGATGCGGCCGCGCCTATTTTTATAGGTTGATATGCAAAGTCCCGCCAGAACCTCGGGTCTCCTCTCCCCCGCCCCTTCACCTTGAGCGTTGTTGATGCCCCGTGCTGGCTGCCAGAGGCCCGGGCAGAGGCGGTGACGTTGGCCTTCTGGGTGCATTCACTCCTGGGGCCCGCGGGAGACATCTGTCGCCGTATTATTTGGCTTAAGCCAAGCTTTGGGGCTATTTCCTCCTGCGGGGGTCTGTTCTGGGCGGGCTCCGGGCTGGGGATCTCATCCATTAGCGCGCGTCTGGCTATAATGCGTCTCTCCCGAGTCCCAGCCGCTGTCGTGAACGCTGCTTCGTGCACGAGGGGAAATGAGAAGCATTCAGACTCTCCTAAGATAGGAGAAAGCTGGAGGCTCGTTTCTCTGTTTTGCTGGTTTGAATCTTTTTTCCGCATTTCTATTTTGCTGTTGGCAGCAGGGAAAAAAAAGAGCTTGAATTTCCTATAGCCCCGGGATTTTGCTCGGTCTCAGACTCTGAGGCCGAGGGCGGGGCGGCGGTCTGAGTGAGTGATGGGTCTGGGTCAGCACCCACATCCCCCTCCCCCGCCCGTCCCCAGCGAGGGCCCCTTCCCAGGCGTGTCCAGCTCCACGAACTGTGGGGTCCTCCTCACGCGCGTCCTGCTTGGCGCTGTCCCACGTCCTGGTGAGGCTGCAAACCACCAGGCTCTCCCAGGATAGAGGACGAGGGTCCCGGGAAGTGACCGCAGCAGCTGACTGGGTTACAGCCCCCAGGGGCTCCGGGAGGGATTCCTGAGCGCAGAGCCAGGAGTGACCCATGAGCATCATGCCCCCAAAACAACAAGCTGCATGCCCCTGCCTGTCCCCCCCGCGTGCCCCCATGAGTGCGCCCCCCCCGTGTGCCGCCCCCTACCATGAGCCCGTGTGCGTGCTCCTCACATACATCACCCCCACGTGTGCATGAACCTGTGTGTGCCCCCCTGTGCGTGCCTCTGTATGCTGGGGTCCCTGTTATTCCCCTGTGTGTACCCCATGTGTGCCCCTGTGTGTACCCCCATGTATGTACCCCATGTATGTGTGTCATGCACGTGCCCCATGTGTACCCCATGTGTGTGCCCCATGTGTATGCCCCTGTGTGTGCCCCTGTGTATACCCCATGTGTGTGCCCCATGTGTGTGTGCCTGTGTGCGTGCCCCACTATGTTTGCGCCCCCACTCATGGCCATGGCCCCCACGCCAGCCCTTCTCCCTCCTCCCCTCCCAGCCCGCGCCGGTTCCTTCTAGAACGCCTTGACTTGTGGTCCTCAGGGTCCCTGCGATCCCTCTGGAACAGACCCTGCCCCTGAGCGGCAGCTTCTGTCCCGACTCAGGGGAAATGAAATGCCCCCACCAGGACCCCAGAAGCCTCCCCGTCTCCATGGCCCCAAAAGGGGTGAGGGTGGGTCCCCAGCTGTGCAGCGTGGGCAGAGGAGTGGGAGCAGCAAGGCGCTTGGGCACCACTTTGTCTGCACCGGAGGGGCGGGCGGGAGACAGGCTGCTTCCTCTGGCGGAAGGTGACAGGCCCCAAATGCTGTTTCTATTGTTATAAATCGCGGTGCCCGAGGCCAGCCAGGTACTGATCGATGATCGAGTTTGGGGGGAATGAAGGAGCAGGAGGGAGGCCTGCCTGGCCCCCGGCCCCCACCGTACACCAGGACTGCAACCCACAGACAGGGAAGGGGGGCAGGTGTGCAGGGTGTGGGGAGGGCACACGGGGGCTGCTTCCTGCCCCATCCCTGCCAGACACCGGCAGGCCTTCCCACTGACCACATCCCGAGAGACCCTAATCTGGTTCGGAATTTTTTTTTTCAAGTTGAACTTTTTATCCTTTTTCTAAACTATTATCATTTTGTTTTGGAGATGCTCAGGCCTTACTCCTGGATCTGTCATCAGGAGTGGTAGCAGGGACAGATCAGGGCGGGCTTGGTGGTCGCTGAGGGACAGCCCCAGCTCCTGTGACCATTCTGCCCCTGCCCCAGTCCGGGTGGGGCCGCAGGCTGCCACTGACACAGGCTGGACTTGGACTTAACCAAGTAGCTGGAGGTCACGTTGCTCTTGGCATTTGGTTGGATTGTTTTATGGGTTATTTTGGGGGAGGGGGCACACATGGAGGTGCTTAGCACGTGTTCAGGGATCACTCATTCCTGAAGGTGCTCAGGGACCATATGAAATGCCCGGGCCCCAGATCAGCCGCATACAAAGCAAGTGCCCTCCCCGCTGTACTGTCACTCCAGCCCCTCCCCCTTGCTTCATTTTATTTAATTTTA